AAATCAAATTGTCTACGATGATATAAACGAGAGATCGATATTTTATTATTCATATAATATAATACTTAAATATATTATGCATTTCGGTTAAAATATAATGTAAATTTGTTCATTGATTATGAACATAACCTTAAAATCCGGGAGCGGCCAGTCAGAAACTAGCAAAGTGCCGCACCCTGTTCCCGATAAGTACTGGCCACGCAGTACGTTCCTTTTTATCTGATCATATCTTTAAAGGATCGTTCACCTTCTACGACTCGTTCGTATTAATTTGATCCTCGATTATAGATAATCTCGTAATTCGATTATTATTCGCGAGAAATCATTAACAACATTTTTTATTTGGTAAAAAGAAAATTTCTAATACAATCATTCGATCAGATAATTGTATCACGTTGATAATATTTTTTCGCAATAAAATATTTAAATACGTCATCATTTTTCTAGATATACACACGAATCATTTTGTAACTTATTTGAAAGTATTCAAAAGTATTTGAATACAAATGAAGACGATGAATAAGACACGTATTATCATTTATATAATATAATACTTAAATATATTACACATTTTTCGGTTAAAATATGACGTAAATTCGTTCATTGGTTATGAACATAACCTTAAAATCCGGAAGCGGCTAGTTAGCAAAGAATAAGAAGGAAGAAAGAAGAAAGAAACCTTGAAAAAGTATTATCCTATTGCAATTACGTAACATTTATGCGGTTGTTACTCGAAGCGTTATTTTATAACCATGAAATATACAATATATCGTCCTTGTGTGAATATTTTTCGACGAGATTCGCAGTTAGGTATCCCGTTCGTAGTTTTATTCGTTATTCGATTCGATAGACTGACAAGATAACATCGTTCAGTTTAAGGAAGATGCACTTTTAGGAATACGATTCTCTTCCAGGTGAATGAGCGTACGAAGGAGCAAACGAAAGAACAGGCAGGCAGGCAAGCAGGCAAGCAAACAGGAGCGGGTTGGGGTGGGGTGGGGTGGGACTGGCAGGTGGATAGGTTCAAGGAGAACCTCTTGCTTGAAATCGAGTCTCGCAAATTACGCTCGACCGACGTTTGCAAGCCGATAAACGAGAAGAAAACGGATATAGGAGCAGCCTGCTTGAATTCGCGCTCGCGTGCACACACCTTCTTACCTTCCTTTTCTAGTTTCGGATTACATACGAAAGAATAACTGAGATATTCTAGATAGGGAAAAATCATAATCACGTTTGCCTTAACCAGCGTCACAGTTTCTATGAATCATCATCTTTCCGCTAACGTACAACTACTACTCAAATGGGGTTTTCCGCTTCTTTGAACAGTCGTATTTTCGTTTCCTTGGCTAATGTAAACCGAAATTAGTTTAGTTTGAACGATGACGTTTGAACGTAGATATAATCTTTTTGCATTTTGTTGTTGTCTTTCATTCCTTTTCTTAGTATAATTATATTTAATCTTTCTCATTAGAATTCAACTTTGATAAAATATTTCCGTTAGTCTTTGTTTTTCTACAAAATTATGCTACTCATATACATAAACATTTTTCTAATACGTCGAATGAATTCGTTCAAAAAAAACTGATGTGTGTACTTATGTACGCACGTAAGAAGTTATATTTCTTTAGCATACAAAAACGAACATAACCTAAATAACTTCAAAAATAATTTCAATTTTCCCGCGCATCGTAAATATTCGACAACTTCATGGCGTCCATTTTTCGGTTGCATTTAACTTCACTTTCCAAAACGTACCAAAAGAAGTATAACTTCAATAAATCGTTTAAAATGTAATAAGAAATGATTATATTAACGTATATAATAAATCTTTTACAATTGTTCTCTCGTAGAATAAAGGTTTGCAACAATAGCGTTGAATACTTATATATAAATTTTCAACTAACTCGTATATATACTTTAAACTCTTGGAATTCATTACAATGAATCAAGTTGTCGTTGCCGTGAGCGCTTTTAATACGGTGTAACATTCAGTCTCTCGTTTAACACGTACGACTAAATGGATGTTGTGATATCCGAGGGACAGAAATATCTCGAGATAATGAATTTAGTTGGATACGTGTCTATCTTAATGCTAGAACGATCATATAATGGTGATGGGAGTGTGGCTTGGGGGGGGGGAGGTGGCCCTTTTCACAATAACTATTCCTTGGCAAAGAAACCAACCCTTCCTTTGTGACATACGAGTACGGTCCCCTTTTTTATTTTTATTTCGTTCTTTTTTGTTTTTTTTAGGTTCAAAAAGCTTGTTCGGACCGTTCCTAATCGAGAATACAATACGATGCATAAAAAGTTAATGTAGTATTCTTGTGAGTTATCGTTGGGTATCATCGTACGTATATGCATTTTCGTTGCATTGTGTTCGTAGAAAAATCCATTTCCCCTGCTGTGAAAGAAATGCGTTTTCTTATGTAAATTTCAAGATTCGACTTCTTGGGATTCGTTCAAACGCATTTAAAATTTTTCCATTGATGGGGCGGGGGTGGAGAGAGAAAAGAAACGTTTCTCTTTTCAAGAGGGATGCAAGGATACTCGAATAACGGAAAAGAACATATATAATCGAAAAGCATCCTAAATTTGTTCCACTTTCTCAACTTTGATTTTTCTATTCGAAAACAATTTGACTGAGTCTCTTTGTTTAAGGCTATTGTTTGTGGTTAATTTGTTTTTATCCTTTTGTTTTTAAAAGGAAATATAAATGCAATGAGAATAAAAGTACGTCAAACATAAGTCTGATAAGTATGATACTGAAAAAAAAAAAGAAATGAGTAAATCATATTATTATTATTGCGATATTAATACGTAGAAAATGATACTAATGTATTTTGATATAACATTCGAAGAAATTTAATAGAGATATGACGAAGTCCGGAAGTTAACGTCGGCGGAAGTACTTTTAATGCTAACTTAAATGGTGAGCCCAATAACAGACGGTGGTCTTTCGTATCGAGAATGTTAGTTGTATAAAATGAATTAAAGAAGTAACCTTGAAACTTAGAACGTCTAGAATTGCTGCTTCGTATACAAACACAATTTCTTGGTATACCAGATTCTTTATCTACTTTTATTCATCCTTGTGGTTTACCTATATTCCAAGAAAGGTAACTTAGCTTGTTTTCGTAATATAATTATAAAAGTTAGATGGAATATTATAATATGATACGAGATCTTAATGAGAAAAATATTTCATGGAAAAGAAAAAGAAAAAAATGAAAACTCCTTTTTAATATATTATTAACGATTTGAAAGGGGTGTCTGATTCGTTCGAAGAAATACGAACGACTGATCCCCATTTTTCGAAATGTGCAGCACGCGTTTAAACTAATCGCAATATCTTGCCAATAAAATGTTTATGATGTGTGTTTTTTTTTTATACGCTTCATTGCTTATTTTAATATGATTTTTTTGTGTTCTTTTATCGATCAAATTTAACCCCTTCCCCAATACGAAAATAAAATGTTTTATTAAACGAAATATTATTTCATGCGTTACGATATGTATACGTAATCAAACATTAAAACAAAATATACATATATGTATGTGTGTGCATATAAATGTTTATGCATATTATATTATATCACCGTTTTTTATTGATTATATTAAATTCGATTGATTGGAGATTCACTGGAACGAGAAAACGTTGTTAAAACCAGTAGCAACAAATTGCTTCGTTCGTGTTCGGTATCGATTCATCGAAGGAAGATTTGTGGTTCAGGATTTTGTGCAAAAGTAAGGAGTGAGAAGAGTACATGCAGTAAGATGCAATAAACTGCTCTTACCTCTCGCTACTCGATGCATAAAATATATCGAAAATTACGCTGAAGTTTCACCTTTTGCAGATTATCGATGTATCCGTGTTTTACGAGAGGATACACGTTGAACGAGAAATAAGTAACGAGCATGATCACCTTTTACTTTTTTCTTTTCCATTTCATTTTTTTCTCATCGTATTCTCAGGAGAATCAATTTTTCTTACTCAAAGTATATAATCTTCTTAAATCCGATAAATTTTCTTCAATTTTGTCTCAAACATCTAACACACATAAAGTACGCACGTAAGAAGTTATACTTCTTTACGAATATAATCTACATAACCTCAAAAATAACTTCAATTTGCGCACGCATCGTAAATATTCGACAACTTCGTGGTGTTGATTTTTCGGTCGCATCTAACTTCACTTTTCAAAACGCGCCTAAAAGAAGTATAACTTCAACAAAATATGCATATACGTGTGCATAAACAGATGACATACTTGCAAAAATATACTCGCGCGACTTTTTTTCTGCTTTCATATTTTCCAATCTTCGTATATTATCCAGAATGCATAACTCGTCGATGCTCTTTCTCTAGATTGGTTTTACGTACAACCTTTTAAATATTATTTATGATATATCGATATAGAATAGTTCGATAACGGGATGCTACGAAATAAACTGCATCACCTCGCCACCCTCCCCTCCTCAACAGCACCGGTTTCTCGCACTTCATATATCTCGTGCCACGTAGACGGAACATTTTCTACGATCATTATTTATCACGATCGTAAGACTTGTCGTTGATGATGCATAAAAGGCAAGCTAAAAATAGAGTTGCGAAAGAGAGAGATAGAAAGAGGGAGAGACACCATAATAAAGGAAGAACACTTTAAAGACTCCTATGTATTCGAAAGAATATTAAATTTGCGAAGTTAACGTAGATTCTATAAACGCTTGTTTATTATTTTCCCCTTTTTTCTTTTCCCCTGTCACGGTTATTTTCGCATTTATGAAAATATTAAAGGCATACCGGGTGGCGAATAAAAATGTTCCGCTGCCAAATAAAAAAGGGACAACAAAATATTCCTCGTCTTTCTTTCCTTCCTTTCATTCTTTCACATCTTTTTTTTCTACTAAAATCTTATTGAATAAAACATGAGAAGTGTGGATCTAGAAGAAGAAGGATAAATAAAATCTTGGTTTGGTTTCTTTTTTTTTACTTAAAGGTCGTGGAACTGTTAGAGGGAACGATTCCATCTGAAGCGATGGAAGTCGAGGTTTCTCATTGCAGAGAATTGAGAATCCAAACCGGTGCATTCGCTGGCGGTGCACCGTTGAAAAGGGTCCACGTATCCGGTATCTACAGCGTCATAGCGAAGAGGCAGGCCTTTGAAGATTTAAGAGCACCGAACACACACCTCGAGGTCTCCGAATGCAACAGCGTAATAATCGAGAGTCACGCCTTCAGGAATTCGCGTGGTACACTGAGCGTATCGATATCTAGATGTAAACACGTTGCAATAAAACCTAACGCATTTTCCTGGTTATTGTGGATAACGGTAAAAGAGGTGCCAACTTTGGAATTATCTAGTAATGCATTTAAATTCGAATCAGCGCAATATGGCAGACATGGACAAGCAACGAAGGTTCGATATATTTTTTTTTTATGAATGTAACAAATAAATAAGTGACTAATGTGCATATATATATTATATTAGATTTAGAAGTATGAAACTGGATTTTTTTTCGGTTAAAATTACACGTCTGTTTTTTCGGTTTCATACTTCTACACATTTATGTATAGGATTCGTAAAAAAATTGGACAGTGAACCCTGGATAGCTCAATGGATAAAGAACAATCGCCCGGAAAGCGAAAAAAAAGATTCGTGGGTTCTTCGAGTCCCGGGGTCAGTTCAACGCCCAATTTTTTCACGAATCCTAAAAATTGGGGGCCCAGCCGGGATGGAGGTTTGCTTCGTAACACGTTTCTACAATCATGCAATAACGAAAGAAAAATAATTAATTGAAGATGTATCAAAATGAGGTTAGGCGATAGTAGCGACGCTGAACGATTGACTGGTGGAACTAGGCAAGAAAAGAGGCTTTCTAAGCACCCAGCGCATGTTCAGGATTATGATGTAAAAACGTACGACATAAAAAATATAGATAGTTGAAAAAGAAGTTTACAAATGTTGCATGGGGGTAGAATGTGGGACGAGCAAACCACCATGCCAAATACTTAAATGGGCATTCGTAAAAAGATTGGACAGTGGGCCCTAAAATAATAGCTCAATGGATGATAAAGTTGCCTAATTTTTCACGAATCCTATATATGTGTATATTTGATTTTCTGCTAAATACTTAAATGGGCATTCATAAAAATATTGGACAGTGGACCCTAAATGGGATAGCTCAATGGGATGATAAAGTTGCCTAATTTTTCACGAATCCTATATATGTGTATATTTGATTTTCTTTCCTTTTCTTTTCTTTTTCTTTTCTTTTTAGATTATGTTCCAAAGCGTTAGAATTACGGAGTTGCCAACTGCCGTTTTCCCATCATCGGTGGCAGAGGTACGAATGGATGATATTTGGACGAAGGTTATACGAAAAGAGGCCTTCTGTGCGATGTCGATCTTCAATGTGATCATCAGCAACGCCTCGATATCGGAAATAGAATCTGGAGCTTTCAGTGATAAGATTCTTATCGAAAGTCTAGAATTCGTTGACGTTAGATTGAAATATATCGAGACAGGAGCTTTCCGAGCTGGACATGATAACGTTACGATTCAGTATTCTAGGTAAAAATAAAACAATATATGTATTGTGTACAGGTAACCCTTTTATAAAACGATAGACAGGTTAATTATAATAAATTTCATATTGTGTGTGTTCATTATTTCAAAATGAATTTAGTTTTGAAACGTGTTAAACAATAATCATGTTATACAGTGCTTTAAAAATACAGTCTTGTACAAAGTTTCGTATTGTAGGAGGACTACCTGTACTATTATTTAAAAAATGATTTAATTAGAACACTTCGACTAATTTGAAACGTATTTAATTGATTACTAGATTATCTGACGTTAAATCCGGTGCCATCGAGATATCTGCAGCAACTGTAACATTCAGCAACAACGAGTTCCAAAGCCTTCACAATCGTTCGATCGTTCTACATCAATGGAATCACATTGCGATCGAGCATAATCTATTCGTCGATCTCGCCTCGGATGCGATCGTAGCAGAAATGGATGCGAAACCGACGAAATCAGCCCCAAAGTTCGAATTCTCGTTTACGGGAAATCACATACAACACGCTCAACCGGGTTCGTTGAAGTTCATCGGGATTTCTCAGCAAGTTAATACGGCACGTGTCGGCAACAATTATTTCATAGAAAAGTGTAATTGCAAATTGGAAGATTGGGTGCGTGAAATAACCGGTAGAAACAGTTCGGTATCGTGGATGATGGATTCGAGTTATTGCATGGTAGACAAATTTCTCGAGAAGTGTTTTAATCTGCCGGAAGGTTATTTGGACATGAGAAATTTCACGAGATTGATATGCGGAAAAGGGGACAGTCACGTTTATTGCGAAAAACCAATTTCGAAACCAGAACCAAGTGTTAGCCCACCAAGCGTTGGTCCGCACGTTTATCCGAGAAACAAGGGATACTTTGACGTTGAAATGAGCGATCCTGAACAACTCGAGCGTGAGAAAAGGATTATCGTGGTTATATGCGTGGTAGCGGTTTTCATCGTTCTCGTAGTGATATTAACTTCGGGTATTTTATACATGCGAAGACGTGGTGTTTGTCCAAAGTTAACATCGGGTCCACTGATGAATTTAACCAGTTGGTTCTCACCCAACAACAGTGGCATGACCGCTGCTACGTCGGCAAGATCGATATCCAGACTGAGCGTTCACGAGTACGCTGGTCTTCAACCAGAAACAAGAATACTAGAGGTGGAAACTCAGCCGGATGTTACCGAGGAGGAAGAGGAGGAAGAGGAGGAGGAGGACGAGACTGTTGGACTTTATCAGTACACCGAAGATAAGGCTACGCAAACATTACCGGAGGAACTAACAGAGGAGTACCTGAGGGATCTAAGAGATAGATTAAACGATCCCGATAATTATAGTCAAGCTAGAGACATGATCGAACATCTTTACGATCTGATCAAGGTCGAAGAAAGTTGCAACAATAACAACGACAGGCAGACAACGAGTGGTGGACCCGGTGGACCTGGAGAGGAAAACGCCTACGATGTAATTCGTCCGAAAACGAAAAAACATCGTGGACAGGGCAAACCTTCTATCAGTGTTGGGACAAGGGTACCGTCCCTCGAAAAACTTTTGCCAGCTGGCTTGAAAACTAGACCACCCATCACGGAATACACGGAACCTCGTGACCAAAGAACAAGCGATCAAAACCATCTATACGCTGAGTTACCTGGCGATGAAACTGTTCCAAGTACAAGTCGCCTTTCTCAACCGGTTCTAGCAACTTTAGCTGGGAGAGCACCTCAACCTTTACCACCAGACGTCGTGAACGATCATCTCGTTAATGGTTGCTCCCCAAATAGAGGAGGGGAACCCCAGCAAAGGGAACTCGACCTACCGGAAAGTCCAAAGTTGGAATCCGCGAGGAATCAACAACAGGGAAGGCCTATGAGTTTCCTGAAAGCTTTAGGGGAAAGTATTCTCGGTGCAACTAAAATCAATAACAATAGCAAAAGGCCGAATTCCTTGTTATGCGAATACGCCGAACCGTCCGATGCTACGGCTCATCTTTATTCCGAATTACCGGAACCTCAAACTTCAACTCCGGCCGCGAAAATGGCCAACAGACCACTGCCTACTAAACCAGATCAAGAGTTGAGTAATACGGCTAAAGCGTAATTATGCTTAACACCGATTATCTGTGATATAAATATTATGTGTTAATGTATTGTGTCGAGAACGATGACTATTAATTATTCGTTTATTAATTACTCGTCTCGTCTTCGTTCATGCTCCTCTATTTTACACAATTTTTCGTGTTTTATACCGAATTTCTATTCGAACGATATGAAATATTAATGGAGCATTCGCACTGCGAGAAGTTTATATTAGTTTCGCGTTGTAAAAATAACGAAGAAGAAAAAACATAACTAAAAGAAATGGAGGAAAAAAAACTATATCGAGAAAAAGTGTAATTGGATTATCGTATATACGTGCATCATTTTTCCCCATCGGGAAATGTATTATTTTTCAGTCATTCACGACCAACGTAACAACAACTGTTCGTAGCGTGTGATTGAAACTTTCTAACGTTGTTTCTATATTTTCCTTCTTATTCTACTTATTCTTTTTTTTAAAAACTAAAGAAATTTTTTTCTTTTTTATCACTTTATTCATTTACATTTTTCTTTATCATCAAAATAGACATTATGTAACGTAGTGCAAACGGTCTTTAGCAGGCACGTTTCAGATAAAATGAACTAAAGATTGGCCTAATCTTGTTTATTTTGTTTAATTTAAATCGAGTATTTTTTCCGAGATACTACAAATGTACAATCGATTTACGTGTATAGTTAAAAGAGAAAATACGAAAATACAAATATGCTGCGACAGGTATATTAAATAAAAGAATATTTTACAAGGACCAGGAAATATGCTTTATCATTATTAATAACAATTATTATAATACGAATTATATATCAATTTCCTAAAATTCCAGAAAAGGAAACATTAATATTTATTTAGTTATCGATTGACTAAATCAAAATTAATGTCATCTGATTATATCAAATATTTCCTATTCCCACAGTTTACGTTCCTTATCCGTTCCTTTACTATTCTTAAAACGTTGCAAAACTATTGCATCTATTTCTAGTAAGTGTATAACCAGTTCTATCGTTTAAAACTTCGGTTGGTTTCACCTACACAACTTCTTATCTCTTTCGAAAAAAGAATTTTACGATTCTCAGACTAACTCTCGATCTTTTCTCTTACGTATAGTGTAACCCTCGTTAGAAGTCTTTCTCAGTTGAGTGGGAGTTCAAAGGTCGCTAGTAGCTCGAGTATTTTCCTTCTTTTTCTATTTTTTTTCTTTTTTATTTCTTTTATCCTTTCCCCTTTTTATTTTGTCTTTACTTCTCTCTTCCGTTCGCAGTGGTGCTTCGAAACACTTACAAATCTACTCCTTGCAAAAGTAAGAAAGTATAGTGAGCTTTTGGGAGAGAAAAAGAAAGAGAGACTGAGTGAGAGAGAGAGAGAGAGAAAGAAAGAAAGAGAGAACAGGAAAAGTTAGAGGAGAAGATATTCTTAATCTCTCTCGCAGTCTCTTCTTCTCTTCTATTAACTTCTCTTCACTTCTCTTCTGTTCTCTTCTTTCTGGGCGTAGTCGGTGTGTGTATATTCAAGAAGACGGGACCAAACTATTCAACATGGAATGCGAGAGAAACAAATAGAGAAGAAATCCGACTAGGTTTGCACCCTCGAACACCACAGCTTCTGTCACAGCTGTTAAAAACGTTTGAAACCTATTTTTTATTGTCATTTCAATTCATTATAAAAGATTTTCAAAATTTGTTAGCCGTTCGATAATAACAACAAAATATATATGTATATCTAAGAGAGAATAACTTTTTCGGATAATAAATCAATCTGAAAAGGTTCAAAAATTGGCAAAGAATGCGATGCTGCAAATTTTTACCTACTTTGCCATTTCTTTGAAATAATTCGGTCAATATTTTTTATACTTTTAGCAAATGGATTTTAATGAAACTTATATTAAATTAAAGTGCACACTTTTAGCTACGCGTAGAATAC